CTTCTTCTACTCGCTCTCTCAATCTATATCTACTTCGTCTGTCCACTCTCTCCTTCTATCTCTCTGTGCCTCTTTTTCTTCTCTTACCTCTCTCCCTTTCCCTTACTCTATGTCTACTTCTTCTGTCCCCCCTCTCTCAATCTCTCTTTATCTCTCCATTTCTCATCTCTCTCTCTATCTCTACCTCTCTCTCACTTATCCTATACCTACTTCTTGTCTCTGTCTCTCTCCTGTCCTTATTCTATAGCTACTTCTTTTGTCCTCTCTTTCTCTCAACCTCTCTCTCCTACTATATCTATATATCTCTCTCTCCCTTATTATGCATATACTTCCTCTGTCATTTCTCTATTTTTCTCTTCTTCTGTCCCTCCTTCTCTCAGCCAAACTTCCCCCTCTCTCTACTCTCTTACACTGTCCTTCACTCTCATCTCTTCATCTCTTTCTTTATCTAACCCGCTCTCATCTCTCTTTCTTTCTTTCTCTCACTCTACACTCTCTTTATCTTTCTCTCTCTCTCCATCTCTTTCCTTTTCTCACACTCTTCTGTCTTACTGTCTCTCACCCTCTTCTCTTTCTCTCACTCAACTCTCTCTCTCTGTGAGCAGCTCTCATAATAAGGCATATGGTCTGAGAGTTATGTGGGTGTGTATAATAGCTGGAGAGGAAGCACAATGAAACGAAACATCAACCTTGAAGATGTGTATACAAACTGTTGGTCATTGGGGAGGAGGGCATGTGGTACTGGCAGTATTAGGCACTGTTTTAAATAAAAAGTGAAAGAACAGTGTAGTATCACGTGTAATAGAGGCTCAGGACTACAAAAAAAACTATATATATATATATATATATATATATATATACACACACACACACACATTAGTCTCTCTCTCTCTCTCTCTCTCTCTCTCTCTCTCTCTCTCTCTCTCTCTCTCTCTCTCTCTCTCTCACTCTCTTGCTCCATCCCATAGTCCCGGTTCCAGCTCATTTAAGGCACATTGAATAAATTAACACATGCTTAAGCAGGTCGAATTAAAGCAATTTTCCCTGAGGCACAGGTCTACAGCATACACACTCACACATATGCATTAACATACCATGCCATCATTACATATAAGCATTGAAGCATGTATTCCATCTAAAATAGAGCTCCTTATGGTCGTCATACAGGCTGCTCACACACATGGACACCACAATGATACACCACACACACACACACACACACACACAAGCACAATGAAGTGAATTACGTGTTCAGTGACCCTTAAAATCCACTTCTGTTTGATCTAAATCGTACCATTTCTCCTGCTCCTCTGCCATGAAGATCTTTCTCTCTCTCTCTCTCTCTCTCTCTCTCTCTCTCTCTGACTTACTATCTTTCCATTTACTATAATTATTCCTGGCACATTTGGTGCTACTCATAATTAGGTGACAATCCTAGCTCAAAGCAAAGAGGTACAGTAGTTTCTTGGCAGCTTATATTCCAGTCAAACGTGAAACAATAGGAAAGAATCAGCGTAGGGGTCGGATTCACGAAGGAAAATTAAGAAAAAAATTGAGAAAAGTCCTTATCATGTTCTTAAAGGGGGCTTCCATTGCTTTTCTAAATGTCTGAATAATTCAATTATTAAGTTGTAAACAAAGTCATTTGGGGTGGTTTGATATGAAACTCACCAATGTAGAGAAACTTAATGGTGGTGATAGGAACCAGACATCCAAAGTGATTAATGCCTCTCTGCTTCACTGTTTAGTGAAATGTTTATGAAAACATTGCCTGATGCCTGAGACACTGTTTTAAACACTTGGCTTGTTTTTAAACTTAAATGGCAAAGAGGGGCAGTGCAAGGCAAATCAATATCCAAAGAAAACTTATTTCTTCAGATTTATCAACATTACATATAAAAGCTCAGAAGATATGTAGCTTCACTGGTCATTTTGGATAGTAATTAAAATGCCTACATTTATTTTGTGGACATCACAAACTCTGGTTCCTAAACTCGAGTCAATACGTTTCTCTCGTTTCGTTTCTCGGTGCACCATTTCATGTTAAACCACTCTGAATAATTTTATTTACATCTTAATGACTGAATTATGCAGATATTAGGAAAAATCTGTGGAATTCCCCATAAGTAGGCTTTAAGGTGAAAGACACATTTTGAATTCTTAATAGCTGCTAGGCTAAACATAAAACCAAATGTTGGTGGAGTGGTACTGTTTGTAGTATTTATCTGTAGTAAGATGATATTAACTAGCTAGATGACTGACAAGTGCTTCAGAAGCCTCTGAGCAAAAGCTGTCAGGAACAGAATCTACTACAGTGTCTGAATCACACTGTAAAAAATGATATATTGGCAAGAGACATCCTCTTAAAAATAAGCAATATATATCATATCCCTCAGATCATTAAGATTAAATTGTCTAGAAATGTTAAATAGCCTTATAATATAAAAACAAAACAAAAAAAATCACATAATGAGAAATATATCTCCTGTGCTTATTTTTGCAGTGCAGCATTAGGGGATACAGTTTTAGAGGCTTAACCTTCATTCTTAATAAAAAAGCTGTTGAAAGGATTAAAAACATACATAAAAGGAGCCCTATTCTCCCTATTTTATTAAGAATGCAACCCCAGAAAGGTTTGTCCGTGAAAAAATTCCGAAAGAGAACATTCTCCAGGGACACTGGCGTACAGTCAGTGGAATAATATAGAAGTCTATAGCCTTGCGGCATTGCGGTGTTGACAGCAGAGCAGTCTGACAGGTAGGGTTCCTCCTGCACTTGTTTCTTGTTTGTCGAGAAGCTGCATTTAAAAATGGCATTGGCTGCCTTAATTTGTTACTGTTTATTTACCTGTAGATGCTCTCTCTGCTAAACACTCTATCTTTTTCTGTCTCTCTCTCTCTCTCTCTCTCGGTTGCTCTTGTCTTCCTGTTGACCCACCTTTCCACCTGTCCATCTCCCTCTTTCTCCCTATCTCTCACTGTTTGTGTGTGTGTGTGTGTTTGACCTTGCATTTGAGACCTCATCGATCTGCTCATCCTGTCAATCGATTCGTCGAGTCTGCTGGAGCAATGATAAAGGCCCTGGTGTGGAGTGTATGTTTGTGTGTGTTAGTAGCAGTCACACCTCTGCCTGCGCAAACGGAGTAAGTGTGGAAATGTCAAAACACAGCCTCTTACACATGCACGTGCACACATCCACGTCGTCATGTAAGCCTAACAAACATTTACCTGATTCTTATCATGGAGTCACAGTTTCGCTCACACAGTTCGACAAAACAGCATTGTCTATGCAATCGTCACCTTACCCCAGTTATAGTCAATCCACTAAGACATTTTCATTGTCTGGACTTTGCTTCCTTTGTTTTACACTGGATCTCCAAGGCTAATGTAGCAAACAAGTAACAGAAGCTTACAACAAACCAAACTGCATCTAACTGAGTTATGATGTATGTCAAATAGGCCAATTTAGGCTTCAGCATGGCTGTAACTACTGTTATTAGCTGTGCAACATACTGTTGTGCGTTTGTATAAGCAATAGTATGCAACACAGCGACAGAAACCACACAAGTCTGGTTGAAATGACTTAACAACTCTGTGTGGTTAGCATGACATACTGTGATCCATCATCTATACTGGGAAAAAAACTTGTATCTTCAGAAAAGCAACCTTGCAGTAAAAGGAAAAAAAACTTGTTTAACAAGTCAATGTAACTAATAAGTTAATGTAAAGTCATTTTGCACCATTTCTATTGGTCCATTTGTTTAAATATTTGTCCTTTTTTATAGATAACAGTATGTAATAGTGTCAGAAACCACATACGCAAGTCTGTTCCCTACACTTTGTATTTTATATATATAGTGTTGTCAAAAGTCCATAATGGAATGAAATGAACTGTACTATTTTACGGTACACGGCACAATACAAGGGTGGGAAACAGGAGACAACCTGCCCCCACTCTTTCAAATAATCCCTCTTTCCATATCCTTTCTTTCTCTGTCTAACCTGTTTTCCCTCCCTCCCTCTCTCGCACCCTTCCTCTTTCTCACTCTCCCCTTTCAGCCACTGTCTCTCTTTTTGCTACACGAGAATAGATGCTACAACAACATCTGTATCATTCGTCTGAATTAAGTGAATAGGTTCTGAATATGTGGGAGAAACTGCAAATGAACATAATGTTCTCTGCTGGCGTTGGATATTGTTTTTTAAATGTGGAGTTGACAAGCCGGCATGTTTGCATTGGCCCGCTTTCGTTCTGTGCTGCTTCACACTGTTTTAAAAACAACCCGCAGAAACATGACCTTTAACTAGATGGTCTTATCTGATAAAACTTACAATCAGCTAAAGCGAGGTTTGAGGATCATGACTGTGTCAAGCATAAGCTGGGAAAAAAATGACATCAAACCTAAAATAGAGCCAACACAATACAGCCAGCTCGTTCCCCAGCAAAAAATAACAGTTCAGTAGACGAATGGACACACACTCATTCACTCATGTGCAAACATATCAGTGCATAGGAATGTGGCAGTCTGAAGGTGGCAATTCAACTGCATTGATTCTGGAATGTCAGAATCAATTATAAAGGATTGGAGGTGAAATCCAGACCTTAAATCCAGTTTCCAGTCCTGGATTTTGTAATTACTGGTAAGCATGACATGGGGTGGCCAATCAGTTGCATCAACAGTTCAGTTAACTATGAGTGACTGCAAAATCCAGGACTGGAAACTGGATTCAAAAACCTCCACATTATAGTAATATTCAAAGAAATGTGTGTTCTCTGGCTATTTTCACAGTGTTAAAGCTTGGTCTATTAATTGTCTGTTTTCCACTGCTGTGCTTTTAATTACATGCGTATATGCATATATTTGTGCATTCAGAGTATATTCTACAACAACTGTCAATTGGCCCAAAATAGCCAAATCAAATGGTGATGAAATTTGAGATTTTATGATGCACTGAATCATTTTCTAAAGACTCCTAAATGATTGGTGACCTCCCACTCACCGATAATGTAGTAGTCCTGCATGGTTTTGAACTCGTGTCCCCAGAGATTGGGCGAATACTCCTGGAACTTGATGGTGAAGCGCATGTCACTGGTGGGTTTATCGCAGGTCAGGAGCAGGTTGGGAGTGCCGGTCACCTCACACCTGTCTGCCTGTTCCCGTGAGGACACCAGGTAGAGCTTGTAGTACTCGTACTCTGGTGGAGCTCGGGGTCCAGGAGGGTCCGAGGCCGGACAGATGAGGTCCAGACGATCCCCAATCTGGGGGTACAGGACATAGCCCCTATCATCACTAAACCTGAGGACAGAGAAAGAGAAAGGGAGAGAGACATTTGTAAACGCAAAGAAGACATGCTTGAATTTAATCAATTTGACAAGCACTCTGAAATAGATATTGAAAATATTGTTAGGGAAAGGGCATATTGCTTTGGATGGCAGACACAAACAGGAATGTCATAGTTTGAGGAAAAGTGGACAGGCAGATCGATTGGCAGATCCCCATTTTTTACATTTTATAAATGTTTAGCTATCAGCATGTACAAAGTATCCGATACGTACATTAGTGCATCCATATCGGTGCAACAATAATTCTGATGTCCAGCTTACAGTATTTTAATCTACACTGTATAATTTAAGTTTGAATGAAGTAACAGCAACTAATAATACCATAAGTGACTCCAAACTTTTGAATGCTAGTGCACGTTCCCAGAAAGCCCTATCTGTGGGCTGCGTGAGGTGCTATAGGAACTCAGCGACACACATTTATCAGCTGAACAAAAGCGACAGAAGCAAACTGCCATCCTGTGATCCCACACACAGAGAAGTACAGTCATTTCATTTCACTCTTCAGTCCATCATCGTCTCTTTTATTTCCTTTTATTCATCTGTTATTTTTCATTCTGTTATAACGCATATGCAAGCAAGGTCTTAGGCAAGGATAAAAGCAAAGTTTCAAAAAGCTGCATTCTATTGCACATGTTTTTTGTCTCTGAACTTATCTAAATAACTCTAATCAAAATGTTTCCAAACGTACCAGAAGCATGCGCGACTGCTTTGAATTTTCTTTGTGCAGACTGACGACTAAACCACTTAAAGCGCTGAGGCCTAATTATCATTTCAGCACTTCTCTCAGGCTTTGGTGGCTGCTGCTCTGTTTACACCGATCTGAGAGCAGTTTATAAGGTTTCTCTCAGCAATAAAGCTCAGGATTTGAGAAAGTATCACTGATGTAGAGTGAAAGAGGGTCACGTCTTCTCTCTGACTGACAACCAATACAGAAAGTATTTACATTTAAACAAACTGAAGCAGTCATTCTTGTTCTGAAGCAGTTTCCAAATTAGCACATGAATGACAGTGGAAGGTTGATGAAACTCCAGAGGCGCCGCTTGCTAGCTTGAAGCTGATGTAGGACTGTGGCATCTTTTCTGGAGTTTAAAAGGGTGCAAGATGACATATGAGCAATGCTGAGATAAGTGTTCTTCACTATACTCTAAAGCTGAACAAAGGGAATCCCACAATAGCAGTAAAAAGGTCTGACACATAGAGGGGACGCTGTCCTGGTCTTTATGTTTTTGTTTATTTCTAAATTTCTAAACAAAATGCTTCTGAAGTAAATATTTACTTTTAATTAGTATGTTAGCCCATTAAGATCGATGCAAACTTTGTCCCTGCTGTTTAAACTACTTTTAATATGCTACATGTACTCGATAAGCAAAGAACATCCTCTAACAAATATAAACGTTTGCGGATTTTTGTTTTATTTGTCAGGGAATTCTTTTTTTGACCAAGAACACATTTGAATGCACTATATAACAATATACTTTACACCTCAGTCGCATTTAATTGTTACTCTGATGAAATCAGTAATTGTGATTCTTTGATATAGTGACTGAAAACACAGAAAGCTTCAATTCCACATGCTGATAAATTTTACTATGCCAGCTTTGGCACAACACTATGGGTGGGCAATATGACAATATCCTATAGTACTGTGACAGTTTACATCACAAAGAGTACTTAAAGAACATTGCACAACTGCAGGTTTCACTACAAAGACAGCATAACATCCTGTCTAACTGAATTTAGTGTTATGTGAAATATCAAATGAAAATTGTACTCAACATTTTGATAGTATTTTTAAACGTGGCACTACTGGTGCATTGTATCAGTAAACTAAATGTCATGACACTTATTTTGTATCATGAAAATGACTGTATTTTTGCCATATCACTCATTCCTAAGGTACAAACATCTTAACTTCTCCAGGGACATCACCAAGTCTCTGAACATACAGTTGTATTCAAATGCGTACATCATTTCCACACAAATAAAATATATTAGATCAACACAATTACAGCCAAAAGCAGGTAAACAAAATTAAAACTAGGATGACATTTCTTTCATGTGGAAATGATGTACTAATCAGTACACCATTTGTATCACAGTTTTCTGTGTATAATTAGGAGTAGGCAGTTTTTAGCATTATTTATCCATAGACGTACACAGTGCAGTGCAACAGCCATACGCCAAATATTTGTGTGGGGCAAATGACAGTGTCCTCTGCCTCTCATACAGGTCAGAGGTTATCAGTGTGCTCTTACACACTCTACAGTTAGACATGCTATCTTCTATTCTGCACCCACCACACACACATCTCACTAACAGTTACAGAAATGTGCTCAACACCAAACACGACTGAACAGGCTTTTATGATCAGACTACCACCAAGTTCTGCAGGTGCAGGTGCACCAAGCATTTGCACGTAGACAGGCCCACATACAAACACAACGTACTCACACACACACACACACACACACACACACACACACACACACACCTTAACACCTTACGCACATGGTAGTATTTCCTGTTAGGTGTATTTTTGCTTGTTATCTGACCGAGGGAGGCCCTGTCACAGTCTACTTGTGCTGGTGAATGAGTAAGCAAACATCCTGCCTCTGTAGACTACACTGGGTAAAGAAAGAGAGACAGAAAGAAGGCCAATGGGGGGTGAAAGAGAGGAACCATGGCAAAAAGGATCACGGGAGAGAATGATGGAGAGATAGAAAGAGATGGAAAGATGAAGAGGAGTGATGTGGACCACAGGAAGTTCGGATAGGGATGAATGCATACATCAGATTGCGTACATATTGCATGACTCACAAGACGCACTAGAGGCTTAAGGAACACTATGGGTGTGCAAATCTGTGCTTAACCATAGTCGAACGTTACAAATGAAATAACATGAGATTAAAGGAATACTACTTTTTTTTCAACCTCATCTCTATCTGCCTCACAGGATATGGTCAATTATCAATAAAGAAAAATTTTCCCTTTACTTCATAAAAAAAAAACCCAGAAAACTCACTTACATGAAACAGTCTTATAACAGAAGCCACTGAGCAGGTGCTTGAGCAGATAACTTCCATTAAACTGTTTTGAGTCAATGGATTTTCTGTTCTTTTACTACAGGGAAACGCAACAAAATTGTTGTTGGTAATAACAGACTGTACGGTACAGGTGCAGCAGATCAAGTTTAGGGGGAAAAATGCTGGAGTATTCTGTGAATAAAGTTTTAAAAATGTGCAAGTGAACACTAAACACCTAGATGGGATAATGGATAGATTAGCCTATATGTAATTAAAGAAGTACTAAGATTACTGCAGACTGCTAGAGAAAGAAAAGGAGAGAGAAAGATATTTAAACATTTGAGGAACTGAAAGAGAGGTGGTGGAGAAAGAAGAGAAAGTGAAAGAGGGAAAAAGCAACAAAGGGCTAGAGAGAGAGAGAGAGACAGAGGGAGAGAGGGATAGAGCAGGCCATGCTGTTGACACGGTCACGCTAGTCTGATCTAAAGCTCTGCAGCTTCCCACTGACACTCCTTCCCTTATCAGCCCATTCACACCTCCCTCCCTCTCTCTATCTCTCTCACCTTCCCGTCTGTGCCCTTACCATGAGTTTGCATCCAGATACACACTACATTTTCTCTTTCTAACCCTCTCTATCTCACTCACACAAACACAGCCCACAAACAACAGATGTACTAATTCAACTTCTCTCCTGGCTCCTGAACTCTATCAGGTATCTGCCGATACTGGGTACTGATCTGATATTAGGGCTCTGCTAAGGCACTTACTTGTCATACTAGCAAAGCACATGAACCAGTGCTTCCAATAGTAAGTTTGAATGGCAATCATGATGTCCAGGAATGAGCGTATTTGCCAGACAAATGGGTACAATTCCTGTCACCTGTTGCCGCACAAAAACATGTTCTATTGCTAGTCCAAACATTACCCACTGCATATTCTGAGACAGCCCAAAATAAACTCTAACTCTAAACTCTAACTCTGCTAATTAAATCATCTTTGCCTCCAGTATTAAAGCAGAGTGATGCGGCATGAGCAGCAAACCTGAACTGCTCCCCAAAAGTGTTGGGACAATTTATCAGTCCACATTGCTGTGTTCTCTCACAACGATAAAGAGTACATGTCTTTATTAACTCTCAGATTAGTATAGACATGATTTGCCACATGTAAACGATCAAATAAAATGTATGCAGACTTTTGAGCATAGCTATTAACTGTTTGTATGAGGGCATACAAGCTACCTTGTGTAACTTTTGGCTATGTTTAAACAGTATTTTCCTACATTAAGTCCTGCATTGCAAAAGATAAGTATTTTTTAAAAAAGTAGTAATGGACATAAAATGTTATCTGCGACTGGCCATTATTAAAGCAGTCTCTTCCCTATATTTAATGGTTTCATTTATTTTTATTAACCTGTCAATCTCAAGACAAGCGTTTTTCTGGTCAAATTCCGATAAGTACCTTCTAACTGAAACCTTGACATAAACAAAAAAGTACCGTAGAGGCTAATTTACTATAAATGAGTCGTACAACAACAGTCTGTTGTTAGTTCTATTGCTCTGTGTTTATAAAGTTGCACTGAAGACTATGACTAAGAATCTTTATTGTTTGTGGACTGTGGATTGTTTTTGTGTTAATATTGGTGCCAATACTAACCCAGTATACAGGATCAGTGCATCACTCATACAAACCTTACACTCACAAGAAGCTCTTGGTTTGTAACGGCTTCTGTATGGTCTCTTCAGCCTTTTTGAACATGGAGTTTGAAAACTTGCAGAAAGCTCCCCAACGTGTAATTACGGCAATTTTGAGCACAGGAACACATTAGCCCCTGATGACTGAACAACTGTCAAGCAACAATTTCTAATGAGCCTGCTCAAGGTTAAGCAAGCGCTCTGCAAATAATTAGAGAACATCCAGAGAACGCTGTGAA